CCGTGTTTCGAAACTCCAAGGCTAGGTCTATATATTAGCAATGTTCTATAGTAAATATTATGCATATAAATGGATTTCCAATTTGACATGAGGCCTATTATGAATGTATAAGTCATACTGCTTTCCTTGGCATCAATATGCAGATTTAAGAATTTTGAGAGTAGTGGGCATCGAGAGTTCTTTACAGGACAACTTGTTAAGTCTAGCCTAATCCGCAGCCTCGTCAAGGATATTAAATATGATAATCGTGCCCTTCCAAGAATTTTATCAAATAATAAGACGTAGAACATCATGATTGCAAAATAAATTGTTTACGTCTAGCAGCAAAACGTTCTCTTTATCTCTGGTAGCCAGATTTCCACATTCAAGTGGATACTTACCACTTACCTGTACACTTCCACATTGAAAGTTGCATACAATGTGCACGAGATAAGCAATCACAGATAGGAGATCGAAATTTCGTCTTTAAAATGTTAGAATATTGAAACTCAAATATAGGGCACTTGAGGAAATTTTTAAAATTTTATCAAGGCCTTTAATATTTAAAAGCGTCGATTCCATGCTGTGATGTTTTGGACGATATCACAAAATATAGGGAGACTGCCTGATAAACTTCCACAAATCTTTCGGCGACTCAGGCGGAAAAACCGCACCACGGGACTGTCAGAATAAATAGCCGCTGTCCTAAAAGTCGCTTTACCGAGACGGAGAAGTGTTTAACTATGATTTGTTTCATTTTCGTTGAGATATATTTATTTGCAACATGTAATGCGGTGGTTACACTAGCACTTACTTCCATCAGCCTTCGTGTTATTAGTATATTAATTTTGTATTCCTTTCAAATATCCCCCTCCGGAAGGTGAGTAGAGTCTCGCTAAAACGACGATTAGGACATTCTGTATTCTTGCTTCTGTGAGTAAGCTAAACTAGGTCTACCCGCAGCTAGGGCCTCAAGGAAAATTTTTCGAAATTATATTCCAGGTGGACATCTTACATGTTTGCGTTGCTACATTTTATTCTGTTCTGCAGTCTGGCGCATGCTGAAACACGTGACTGTAATACAAGTGGGCGTCTCCGTCACAGTGATATGATGGTAAAGGGCGAAATGGCTGCACGTGGATCACGCGTATAGGTTTATGCGGAAACTCGGTGTAACTATGCAGCACATTAAAGTTCTATCTTCTGCGTCATAATGCCATGCAATCCATTGCCTATCTTATTGAAGACGAAGGCAAAATGTTCTTCAATAAAGGTCGTTGACCTTCAACTGACAGAACTCTTCATAACCATCACGGCGAGAACCTCAAATCCTACATGTAATAAATTATGAAGTTCGTCCTTGCACGTACCATTAGCGGCATTTCAATAGCATGCCCGCCATTTTAAGCCTCAATGCAGATACTGTCAGAGTCTGTGGGTATCGATGGAATTTGAAGTGGATTAATGTCTAAAATACTCGGCCACTAATATACGACAGGGTTGTTATATAACGGTACTTATAACAAATAAACAAAACTCCGTGGTTTTAGTCCGCAAGCGAACTATACCGACGAAGCGACCGCCGCTTGTCGGCGAAGTTAGTGCCAACTTTAGCGGATAATGTCAACGCAACGAATCCCCACGGCCGTTAATTTCGGTTTTTAGACCGGATCCGCCATTTCCTTGAAACAGTTCCTCAATTATCCTCGCGAGGCTGCGTGGCCCCCGTTCCAGACCCACTACTTCTCAGAAAATCTGGTAGCGCCGGGAATCGAACCCGGACCTCTGAATGCGTAGCCAGGGACTCTTGACTACTAGACCACAGAGGCGGTCCTTATGGGGCCTAAGTCAATATCGTCAATACTGAGAACGATACTGTCACATAGTATGTGTGACTATAGATGGGGTTTGGACTGATGAATGGAATTAGTGACCACTTTAACATACGACTCGAAAATTCATGTAATTACAGCGCCATCTCTAATTTCCACAATTCACCACAGCACCTGCTAAGCCTTTTCCAGTCTCCTGTGTCCTCAACAGCCGTTCGCTGGCAACGGTTTATAACAGTGAGGATTTCCTTAGCTTCATGTGCTGAATTCCTCTCTTCACAGACTCCTGTACAGAACTAAGCTCTAACCTTGTCCTTGCTTATAACATCTCGGCACAGACCACATAGAAAACACAGCTATTCTACTGTTGCATTTGTGTTTTGCTGTGGGAATGTGCTTACTGAGCTGCTGTCCAGAAATGGCCCTACAATATATTTTAATGCTTGTATGTATTTTGGCTTCATATGAAATTATCTCCCATACCCCTTGGGATTCCATGGATGGGGAGGTGGGAGGTTGCATACAGAACCACTGGTTTAGATTATAGTACATATAAATTACTAGTAATAAATTGTGTATAGCTAGACCTAAATATCTTGATGTATTCATGGGTTCTTTTATGATACTATTTCAATTTCAGGGATTATTTAGCATGACATAAATTTACCATTAATGATGAAAAGGCAAGAACTTGAAAGTACTATCTCTGCATATGGCTGGAGGGATGAACAAGAACCAATAAATCCTTAGTTATGATAACTGGCAGCTGCTTCAACATGCGAGCTGGATAGGTCCATAATCTAAGTCCAGTGCTTCACTGCTGTTACGAGTACCGTGCTATACAGTTGTCAGCATACACATGATCTGCTAATACATGTACAGGTATGTTCTCTTACCATTACTGTCACAAAAGTTTGTTCATCTAGAATATGTATGGAAACAAACATTTTCTTTGTTTATGAATGAAGCATGGAAAGTATAATATTTACACATATATTAATCTGCTATGACACGAAATTCCTGCCTTCTGCCTATCCGTTAGAGATAGCTAACCTTCATCACTGTGACTGAGTGAATAAGGTTAGCTCTAATGGACCTGCCAGAGTAGGTGCCTTACACTCTTTCACCTGAGGATGGAATCAGATCCAGTTTCTCAAATGTTGTGTTCTTTAAGATACCAGGTAATGCACAAGTCCACAAACTCAGTAATCCTGCGTGTTATTCATTACAAACAGAACGTTTCAAAACTGACCTGAAGAAAAGGCTTCCTTACATTTCTGCACTACTCAGTATTCAGTATATGAATAGGTCTGGAACTCATCTTGTAAAGCTGACTTGTTGCTATAACAAAGTACAGTGTAGAACAAAGAGAAATGTAATTCAAACTGTCAGCTCATTTTGGTACTGTTGAAACCTCAGGCAGGAATTAGTAAAATTATAGCAAGCAAATCTCTCAAATAAAATGTGGCAAAATATTGAAGATGGGTAATTTACTACATTTGTAGTTCATTTAACGCAGCTGTCAATAACTCAGACTATATAGCGTCCAAAGACAGACGAATAATGAATTGGAAAGGATGTATAACATTGGCCTCATAGACTAATGAAAGATTTTCCTGGAGGGACTGAGAAAAACCATGAAAAACGTGGTCAGTTGTCAGTGTTCCAGTCAAGATGCGAACCCGATACCTCTCAATACAAGTAAGAAGATCTACTGCTTGAGCCAAAATGCTTGGTAAGATGGTTAATAGTATACATGTATAACTGGATCTTAGAGAGATAGGATGGGGTGATATGGGCTGGATTGATCTGGCTCAGGATAGGGACCAATGAAGGGCTCTTGTGAAAACGGTAATGAACCTTCAACTTCCACAAAATGCGACTCAACCCCTTATCTATTGGTTACTCAAGGGTAAACTCACAGGGGTGTGAAACTGACAATTCTTCTCATCTAGAACTGAAGTTAAGAATGGCGGAGCTATATTTTTACTCACCCATTTGTCTTCATGGCACAGCCCAAAAGATGGCCTTGCTACAGTCATGGCTGATCTTGGTCACTTGCAGAAGCTGGTGTTAAGCATCACTGGGTCTCAGTACTGCCTTTGGGGCTGTTCTTAAGGTTCTGTTTGATCCCTGTCATTTGGTTGGAGATTCCAAGGTCAGGAATGTGATTGGGTAGTGGTCTGAACATAGGTCATTCCAAAGTCCTTGCCCAGATAATGACATCTGACTGTTTTCCAGATGGGTCATGATAAGATGATTGCTTCTTGGGCTTCCCATATAGAGAAATTTTATCATGTGAATACTGGCTACCGACTTGGCCTATAACCCTTCAGCCTGGAATACAAACAGGTCCAGGATGACTTGCAGTCATGAAGTGACACCACAATGCTATCCACCTCACTTACTGTTCATATCATGGCACTCCAGGCAGAAATTCTTTTGATTCTATCCCATGCTACAGAGTGTATAGGAAGGGCCTGTACAGGTGAACACACTTGCACATGCTCAGATAGCAAGGCAGCCCTGTGGGCCCTTAAGAAATCAAAGGTGATGTCAAAACTGTCTGTGAAAGTCAACAGACACAGTATGCATTTACTGTCTGAATTCCACTATGATCAGAGACTCAGGGGAGAATAACCTTCTTCCAAAAACACAGAGAAGAACTAAGTAGTTCATTCCCTGATCTTGAAGCAGCAGTTTCAATCTTACCATCTGGTTGGTAGGTTAAAGGTTAGGGAGTGGTTGAGGGAGAATCATTCTGACACTAGGCTATCACACTAGGTATGTGGCAGTTAAAATTCTTCATCAAAGGGACTTTGGATAACCTTAACAGGGATGTGAAACACAGTAGGCTGATAACAGGGATACTAAGGGGCCATTGCACATTTAGATGGCACCTACATATAATGGGCCTCTTGGGAAGCGCCATGTACAGTAAATGTGGACAGAAGGAAGACTCCTGCTGGTACATACTTCATCAATCTGAATATAAGGAGGACCTTTGGCTCTGCATGGTTGAAGCCAAAAGACCTCAAGAAAACATCCAGCAAAATGGTCAGAGCTCCTTGAAAGGCCCTAGCAATGTCAGGGGTCACAAGAGAGTTGCCTAAGTCTTTGGGGTGATGAGAAGTTGACCAATATCAACTAAATTAGATTCATAAATGTCAGGCATAAAGCATTGTCTGGTATTAGACATCTGACCGGACTGAAGGGAAGATGATGCTGAACCACATAAACAGCAATGAATTAAGTTCTGAGTTGTGTTTATCAATTAAAGTTGTACAGCAATACATCTAAGCATGAATTCTGCTGGGGCAGGTCAAGTTTGAATTGAAAAATTGAAATTGATTAAGGTGCAATATACAATAATTAAAACTAATAAAATGCACAACCAATCAAGATTTTTCAATTTAAAGAACCTATTATACATATATAAATTACTTAATTTCTTCCATTCTCAGCTTCCAGACTTTAAGTTTATGCTGTGCCTCCACTGATGACCACACTTCACAGTTTATAATTTCATCTTCAAATGAGTGTTGTATCCACAAATGGAACCTCTTCAAATCAAGTGACTAACTTAAAAAAAGATGGAAAGTACGAACTTATGTTCAATGCAATATACTCAGTGTATCATCAGTCTTGTAAAAGACATAACCCGGTATCTTAAAAGTAACATATATACACACACTGGCACTTCCTTCACAAGGTAACACTGCAATTATGCAATATCTCTTATACAAAGTAGTGTCATTCACATAACTTTAAATTTTCTAATCTATTTTCTTCTTCATAATTTCTTATGGAGCAACATCTTAATATGGTGATACCCAATTCTTCACAACTATTACCCAACTTGGGTAATATGAACTTGCAGTCCTGTATCTGTTAGTTGCTGAAAGAAAAAAAAAACGTGAATTGGTTTCAAGGGAAATCTGTTTCTTCTTTGTTATGTTTTAGGCCAATGGTTTATCATGAATAGGAACTACATAAGAAAACTCACTGCTTTTTAGAATATCATAATATTTCTGTATTTGAAATCACTGGATAACTGTGGTTTATGTTAACTCCACTAAGACAGCAATATAAATGATATTTACCTGCAAATAAACAACAGCATGGATTATAATTTAAACTAAAAAATAACAAATCAATGCACAGTAGTAGTAGCAGTTAGTGGTGGTGTTGGTAACACCATGATTGCCACTATATCAGCACTTACTGTAGCATTTTAACTTTATATCTTGATTTATAAAAAGGAAACTAGACAGAAAGATTTTACAAAAAATATGGACTACAGGTTACCTTCAATTTATAGACTTAGCAGAGTACAACAGGATTTGAATTTTACATGCTTACAATTGATGGTTATATCTACAAATTCATTATGCAAAATGAAATTCTGATGCACAAATACTGAGTGTCAGGGCACCATGATGCCTATAATTTTCAAGACGGCACTTATCATTTTCTTCCTATTATATTACAAGTCCATGAGAAAAGATAATAGGCAAATGAATTCCTTTCTTCCTTTCCTATCTTTATCTCCTTCCTTCCACTCCCTTACTGCATTCCTATTCCCTTTATGAGGTCTGTCCAAAAAGTATCCAACTATATTAATTTTCCCAAGGTAAGTAATGGTGAAAGGGTGGGGAAACTGAGCATTGTGGTAGAAGGGATTTTCATGCATATGCGTGATTTCTTGCTGCCTCACAACACCGCCAGATGTGTCTGTTGCTGCCAGATAGTGAAGTGGTGTAACACATGTTCGTTGCATTCTCATTTTGCTCAAGATGACAGAACGCTTGGAGCAGTGATACTGCATCAAGTTGTTAGAAACTTGGGGATACCCAGGCAGAAATACACAAAATTCAGCAGGCTTTAGGCAATCACACAATGGGGGTCACTCAAATTAAAGAGTAGTTCCACCGCTTTAAAGATGGCCGCATGTCAGTGGAGAGTGACCAGCGTTCCAGGCGTCTGTCAATGAGCTGAAATGCTGATGTTATTGACAAAGTGCAGACACTGATCATGGAGGACTGTTATTTGACAGTCTGGGAAACTGCTGATGAGGTTGGGATCATCAGAAGTTCCACAAACATGATTTTAACTGAGGATTTGGGCATGCAAAGAGTGGCTGCAAAATTTGTGCCCAAGCTGCTTTTGCCAGAGCAGCAACACTTCTGCCTTGAAGTTGCGCAGGACATGCTGCAGTGCGTCAACAGGGATCCTGAGTTCCTGAAGACTGTGATCACTGGTGACGAGTCGTGGGTGTGGGGATATGACATGGAAACTAAGGTCCAGTTGTTACAATGGAAGCATACAACATCCCCGAGGCCCAAAAAAGCACAAAAGGTTTGGAACAATGTGAAGGTGATACTGTTTTTTCGAATACTGAGGTGTTATGCATCATGAGCATGCACCACTAGGCCAAACTGTCAATAAGGAGTACTACCAAGAAGTCCTCCTTCATCTTCACGATGCAGATCAGCACAAGAGACTAGAGTTGTGGGACACCCTCTATCGGCTGAAGTTGTCATTACATATACATTAGCAAAAACAATGGACAACCTTTCTACTGTCAGCCAGAACTAATACATGGAACAAACTGATCATTTCTATTATAAATGGTTTATATTAAGTAAACAATATGAGGGGATACTGAATAGTCATTCTACACAGCCTTGTAGCTATGCACCTGCACATACATGAAACTGCAATGCAACTCGATTTGGACCCTTTTCTTTGGCAGTCATCCACTGCAATGGTATCTATGCAAAAAGTTAATGGGTTCACAGGAGGTTATATGACAATTATAATGTGCAGATGGTAACATAAAATGCCAGTAGCACAAACTTCCTTCTTGAACTTCGTGGGTGCTAAGAGTCTGATCAGAAAGTTTATTTACTTCTGTACTTAAAAAGTATGAGGCACCTATTTTATCATAAAACAACAAATAAATAAAGGCTTTAAGTTATATATATTTATTTTCTTTTTCCCCATACATTTTAAATGTATCCAACTGAGTCTTCCTCCACAGAAGACTACTGCAGGTGTAAAAATCATGAATACAATAAGCTGAGCTGCTGATGACCTACAACTGAAGGAGTCCAGAAAGTTGTACTTAACATTACTTTAAACATTTTTAGTTACAAAATTTCATTCTACATCCAAAAGAAAGCTCTACCATCTAACTGAAAGGAAAAACACCTGGTGAGGTAATGTTTTTTCCATGTGTGTCTATGGCACCTTAGTCTCGTAAGTGCTCTTTCATGTCTTCCCTTAATTTTAATCTGAAAAATATAGGTTGTAGATTAAAACATTGAAGAAAAACATGTAATAAGGTAATAAAATGTGACAAAACAGTGCTATAAATAAAACATACAAATAAGTGAACATTCTATAATATTTGTCTTAAGATAGCTTTCTCTGATGGTGTAAATATGAAACAGATTTCATACATGTTCTTGGGCTTTAGTCATGTCACTTTCTTAATTGTATTCAATGTTTTAGTGAAAATTACAACTGTTCTCTTCAAGGTGAATAGTCTGTGGATTAGTATGTACAGGGTGGGGCGCAGAAAATTCCTTTTTGTGAAGACGCATTGTGAAGGGAGGGGAGGTCGCAGAAAAGTGGGGATAGGCTCGGCGAACGCAGCAGTCGCAGAAATTTCTGTCTAATACCCCTCAGTAGGAAACATGAGGCGGACAAGTGAGCAGTGTGCATTTGCTGTCAAAGCCTATTTTTCAAACAACCATTCCTACGTGGCGGTGCAGCGTGCGTTCCATACTCACTTCGGAATTAAGCCCAGAGGTCCAGTTCTCGACCGGAAATCGATTGTTTTGTGGGTAGAGAACTTTAGGACAACCGGGAGTGTGGTGAAAAAATAATGAGGACGACAACAGACCGTTATGACGCCAGAATATGTGGAGGCAGTTTGACAGTCGATTTTGAGATCTCCAAGACGCTCTGCTCGCAAACATGCAGTCGCCCTAGACATACCCAATCATTCAATGTGCTGAATTCTTCATGAATATCTTCATTTCCATCCCTATAAGATAGTTGTTGTGCAAGAATTGTCACCACGTGATTTCCAGAACTGAATAATGGCGTGTGAAACGTTATTGGAAACTTTACCCCCTGACACACTTGTTTTCTTTAGTGATGAGGCACATTTTCACCTATCCGGATATGTCAACAAGCAGAATATGCACTATTGGAGTGGTAACAATCCCAGAGAGCTCCATGAAGGGCCACTTCACAGTGATAAAGTGACAGTATGGTGTGTGTTGTCGAGAGTTGGAGTTATTGGCCCTTACTTTTTCGAAGAAGACAATCATGCAGTTACTGTCAAGTCACAGCGGTATGTGGACATGATTAAAAACTTTTTTTTTGAACCAGCTCTTGAAGAAATGCATCTAGGAAATGCCTGGTTCCACGGCCCACACAGCCCGAGCTTCGATGACAGTTTTGAGGGCTAAGTTCCCCGGATGGCTCATCTCGCTTCGAGGTGACATCCCGTGGGCAGCGCACTCACCTGATCTAACGCCCTGTGATTTTTTTATGGGAATGCCTCAAGGCAGAGGTTTTTAAACATTGCCCCACAAACCTGTTTCAGCTGAAGAATGTTATTCGGCAGGATGTAGCCCAAATTCCAGTGCACGTGTTGGAACACGCAGAGGGGAACTTCAGAAAACGGTTGCATCATTGCATAAAGAACCTTCAAGATATTTTGTTTAAAACTTTAAAGTATGTTCTTTCATTAGCTAATCATAAATTTTGTCTATCGGCAATAAGTTTTCTTTTATTCACCTTCAAAAAATGGAAGTTTCTGCACCCCACCCTGTACATGTCTGGAAGGGTATCAGGTGGTGGTGATCATGGTCTGTGCTTATTTAGTGTCCATACACAAATACTATCATCACAGGTGTATTCTGGATGATGGCAGATGCCCACTTGCAGACATCTATCAATATTGGCCTACAGATTGTTCTACATATTCAAACTGAAAATGACAACTGTTAATGTTCACTGTAGTTAGAAGTATTATCACATACCAGTCACAGTCTGCAAAAACCCCAAATCAGTAATTTACAAATTCTGACATACTAAAACTAAGTTGACAAGGCAAAAAGGACAACTGTCAGCAAACAACTCTAGTTAGCTGGCCGCTCACTTCCATCTTGTGCCAAGGTCAAGAATGGTGGAGCTATACCTCCGCTCCTCATATCCCATCATGGCATAGTACAATTAAGCACAGGGACAACTTTACCTTTCTGTAACTAATTTAAACCAATTTCAATTAACAGCACTTGTTTTAATGTGAACTGCTTGCTCGTTGATTGAGAGAGGCAGGGAGAAGGGGTTCTAAGGTACTGTGTGGGAGGTAGTCAACCTAAATGTGTTATTCAAAAGTACATATGACTGGAAAGGAATATGGCAGACAGCAGGGAAAGTTAATACTATGAAAGTTTACATGACAATAATGAGATTTTCCCACTGTTACACTAGTTACATTTCAATTAAGATTACATCTACATTAATGCAGAGCTATAAAATCAGGCTGGGGGAAGCTTCATTTAATTATTATTGAAAATTGAGATTTCTGCAATATTCACATGTATAAGGAAAACCACTGCTGACTGTCTGTTGCTCTTTGTGTGTGCTCAAAGATCACTGTTAATTTCTCATTATAAAGGTTAGCAAATGTATGCACAATGTAAAAATTCCTGTTTACTCTTCAAAACTGTACTGCTTACAGAAAAAAATGTATTGAGCATAAAATGTGTGTTTTGCTTGTCTCTATAATTCTGTTTAAAATACCTTTCACTCCAATAAATATTTAAAGAGTTATGTTTTATATATATGCAGAAATGTGGGTTTGTCTTTCATGTGAAATGTTCTATATTTCTGTCCAGTTTTAACCAAAATTAGAATGTTTTGACAAATCTTAGTAAACTTCCCATTATGAACTTAACTTCATTAACTTCCCATTAACTTCATGAAAATCTGTTAAGTGGTTCTTGATTTGTTTCATGCATACTGACACTAGGAAGAAGTATTTTAATAGGTGCTCTGCAAATTTGTGAATGGACAAAAA